GCTCCACTGCTGTTGCTGCGTATCAACTAGCCAGACTCATCCACTTCCTGTTCGTGTTGCTGGTCCTCCCCCCAAGCATCGTCGTAACCATCATCATCACCAGCACCGTCACTATCACCGTTACCATCATCATCACCCGCATCACCATCAACATCATGATCGTCATCGCCGTCGCCATCACCATCGTCATCATCAAAAGCACAGGCAGCATAATGATCCATCAGCATCGCCACCATCACTATCGTCAGTATCGTCATCGCCATCAGCACCAGCACCATCACCATCCTCATCAGCATCACCACCATCATAAGCAGCAGCATCGTCATCAGCATCATCGTCACCATCATCAGCAGCATCCCCGTACCCATCCTCATCCTCATCCTCATCCCCATCAGTAGCAGCACCAGCATCATCCGCAGCAGCAGCATTAAGATATCATCCGCAGCACCACCACCGCCGCCGTCATCATCAGCAACCGCATCACCGACATCGGCAGCATCACAATCGGCATCAGCATCATCATATTCATCGGCATCATCATCTGCAGAACCAACAGCATCGTCAACGACAGCACCCGCAGAACGAGCATCATCGGCAGCAGCGTCACGATAAGCAGCACCACCATTGCCACCACCATCGACTTCATCATCGCATCCGTCGCCTTCAGTATACCAGTATTGCTCTTGAGGTTGGGACCACTACTGCCACAAGTAATCAAGCAACCACTACTTCGACTAGTTCAAATACTACTCCTACTACGACGACGACGACGACGACGACGGCGACGACTACTACTACTACTACTACTACTACTATTACTACTACCACTACTACTACTACTACTACTACTACCACTACTACTACTACGACAACTACGACAACTACGACTACTACTACTACTACTACTACTACTACTACTACTACTACTACTACTACTACTACTACTACTACTACTAATATTATTACCACTACTACTACCACTTGCGGCCACGCGCACCACATCACCACGGCTCGACCACGTCGGGGCGAGCGCCCCGCGGCTGCCTCTTTACCCTACAATGAGACACACGCCAAGCGGGGCGCGAAGAAAGGCGGGGCACGCGCCGCGGATTGACGAAGCTGCAGCGTCGCGGCCACTGCCCATCAAGACGAGTCCGGCCCAAAACAGCCACAGGACGAGCGGCGCACGGGGCCGCCCCAGCATCGCTCGCCCCAGACGCGACCGCCAAGGCGCATCAAGACGGGCCTGGCCAAGAACAGCACAGGGCGCGCTGCGCACGGGGCTGCCCCAGCGTCGCCCGGCCCCCGATACGCCGGAGGCCTTGCGCGGCAACGGCCCACAGCGAGAAAAACGGTGCGTTGCAAGTCAAAATGGCTGGGCACTCAGTTGAAGTACCGAGGGCTGCGCGGCGACGCCGCGAACGGCCCGCAGCCCACGGGGCGGCCCCAGTGCCACGAGGTAGCATAGGGCACGCAAAAGAGGCCGCGGTGGAGCCTCCGACAGCCACAAGTTGGCGCGCCACAGCCCATTGAAGTTGGCGCGGCGCTGACGTAGCGCACCATGTCAAAGCAGGCGCGCAACCACTCACTCACTCACTCACTCGCTCATTCGAACCTTGGGGCCCTGGAGCCCTGGGGCCTCAGAGCCACTCGGTCTTGCGAAGGAAAACCTCGGACGCGAGCGAACGAACCGCCCCGCCCCACTGGCTGCCCTCCACCGCGGGGCCAAACAGCTGAGACTCGACGTCTGGCGGCGGGCCCACAGGCGGCGGCGGCGGCGCCTCCACGTTGGTCAGCGCCGCGGGTGCAGGCGGCGGCGGCGGTGGGTCCACCACCCCTGCACCACTCATCCCCGGGTCCACCTGCCGCCCGCCAGCGGGGGGAGCACTCGGGGCTGCCCCTGTACCCCCCCGCTGGCAAGGCTGCCGACGTCCAGCTTGCGACGCTGCTCGTAGCTCAGTATCGCCACCCTCGCCTCCTCGAGCTTTTCGCGCTTGTACTTGTTCCTGGTCTTCTTGCTGTAGCCCGCCCACGCAGGGTCATGAAGCCCCCATGCTATCTGCGAGCATATGTCGCACCAGTCGAACTCAGGAATGTGTTCCCACGTCATGTCGTTCATAAATACCCGATGGCCCTCCCATTACCTCTACTACTACTACTACTACTACTACTACTACTACTACTACTACTACTACTACTACTACTACGACTACTACGACTACGAATACGACTACTACTACTACCACTACTACTACTACTACTACTACTACTACTACTACTACTACTACTACTACTACTACTACTACTACTACTACTACTACTACTACTACTACTACTACTACTACTACTACTACTACTACTACTACTACTACTACTACTACTTACTACTTACTACTACTACTACTACTACTACTACTACTACTACTACTACTACTACTACTACTACTACTACTACTACTACTACTACTACTACGACTACTACTACTACTACGACTACGACTACGACTAGGACTACGACTAGGACTATGACTACGACTACGACTACGACTACTAATACTACTACGACTAAT